GACGTGTGTGTGCTCCGGTGTGTTTGGACGCCTGCTCCTCAGAGACGTGGCCATGAAGACACGAGCAGCCACCAGAGAGCCCTGATCAACACACACAACATATTAACCTCCACCTCACTGTCACACATGGTATTTTAGATTTAAAAACAGAAAACCTGACCTCTGCTGTATCAACCGTTTGGTCTTCGGCTGCTGCTAAAACATAACAAAGAAACACACTTTACAGTCTGGGTTTCTCTGATCCATAATCAATATTTAAGACAAGATGACAAAGCTATCACCTGTTTACCATCAAGTCTGGCTCCAGTTTATTGACACGTTTGTTATTTTATTGAAGTTTTAGAATGAGACCCAGAAGTACGTCCCGGGATTATTTTTAGTGGGTCTTATCATGCCCAGGCAACATTTGTAAAATACTGACTGACTACACTGCAACCAAAAAGTCAAAGATGTACAATCAAAATGCATTATTCGGAGCCACTGGTTCAGACATTGTGTTTGAGTGACGTTTCATCTTCAATGTTGTCACTGTTAGAAGAAGATTTTGGTCCAGAATCTGACGAGACATGGCTCCATTCATCCTTCACTTTATACAGATCAGTCTTTCCTGTCTTCTCTGCAGAAAAACAGCCCCAAATCCTCATGTTTCCACCTCCATGCTTCACTTTGGGTAAGGTGTATGGGATGCAACTCTGTATTTCTTCTAGAGTTTTTACCAATAACATTTATTCTTGTCGTATCTGACCAGTTCATATTCTCCCAGGCCTCTTGTGGATCTTTCAGATGGTCAGAAGAAAACTACAGACAGACCTGGACATGATCTGGATTCAGCAGTGGGCGTTACATCCCAATAAAACCTTAACTATCCACTGTGAAGCAACGCAGTTGAACGTTTCTGTTTCTCGGTGACAATCTTTAAATATCACAGCTCTTACTAAGATCTGCAGGGAAGAATGGGCCAAAATAACAAGGGTCCCTCAATTCACCTTTGTAACGAAACCTTTGACGGCATTGACAAATATTCAGTTTAACTTTTGTTATTTGGAAAATAATACATTTCTGCACAATTGTAAACTGTATACTTCACTACTTTCTTTTCTCCACATTTCACTCACAGTTGAAGTTTACTCTGATAACATTTCATGACTCTCCTCATTTTCTTTGAGTGAGAAAACTTGCACAATCAGCCAATCACCAATGTACCTTTCTGAAGACTTCTGGTCTTCAGGGCAAGAACAGCCACAACAACAGAAAGAATTCAATCAATCAATCAATCAAATTTATTTATAAAGCACAATTCATACAGTGTAACCCAAAGTGCTTCACAAGCAAAAAAACAGTGTATATGCATATAAAATATTGTAATAAAAAGTTAAAAGTTACGAACATTTAAAAAATAAATACTTCAGATTAGTCATATGCATACCTGAATAAGACAGTTTTCAGCCTGGACTTAAACATTGCCAGGGTCGAGGCCTGTCTCACAAGCTCAGGGAGACTGTTCCAAATTCTGGCTGCATAAATTTGAAATGCCGCCTCCCCATGTCCAGTCCTGACCCTAGGCACCAGCAGGAGGCCAGTCCCTGTGCTCCGCAGTGTCCTAGCCGGCTCATATGGCGCTAACATTTCTCGAATATACTGTGGTGCGAGGCCATGAAGAGACTTATACACAAGTAGAGCTGCTTTAAAATCAACTCTCTGAGCCACAGGAAGCCAGTGCAGAGACTTAAGAACTGGACTAATGTGGTCGTACTTCCTGGTTCCAGTCAGGACTCGAGCCGCTGCATTTTGGATGTACTGCAGCTGCTTTACAGCCTGTTTGGACAGACCTGTGAGCAGGCCATTACAGTAGTCTAACCTACTGGAGACAAAAGCATGGATAAGTCTTTCTAAGTCAGGTTTAGACACAATACCTTTGATTCTGGAAATGTTTTTTAAATGATAAAAAGCCACTGATGTTATTGAATTTATGTGCCGCTGAAAATTCAGCTCTGTGTCCAGGACTACCCCAAGATTTCTAACCTGATTTACAGGTTTCAGGGAGAGAGACTGCAGGTAACTGGTGACAGTTTCTCTTTGCTTCTGAGGTCCAAAGACAATTGTTTCTGTTTTATCCGAATTAAGTTGCAGAAAATTGCTTTGCATCCACACACCGATTTGCTGGATACAATGGCAGAGTGAATCCAATGGTCCATATTCTCCTGAAGTTAGTGAGACGTAGAGCTGAGTATCATCAGCATAATTGTGGTAAGAAACATTTTCATTGTGAATTAACTGGCCAAGTGGTAACATGTAAAGATTAAATAACAGAGGTCCTAGGATTGACCCCTGTGGTACTCCACAAGTCAAGGCAATGTGGTCTGAAACACAATTTCCAATCTCAACATAGTACATTCTATCCTCTAGATAGGACCTACACCACTCTAGAGCCATGCCAGAGATCCCCACCCAGTTCTCCAGTCTCTGTAAAAGGATTTCATGATCCACAGTATCAAATGCTGCACTTAAATCTAATAAAACTAGCACTAAGACTTTGCCAGCGTCCGTGTTCAAACGTATGTCATTTACCACTTTAATTAGGGCAGTCTCTGTGCTATGGTTTGGTCTAAAACCAGATTGGAACACATCAAATGAGTTGTTTGATAATAAAAATCTCATCAGTTGTTGATAGACAACTTTTTCCAGAACCTTACTCACAAAAGGAAGATTTGAGATGGGCCGATAATTTTTTAAGGAGGGGCTTGATGACCGCAGTTTTAAGGCTCTTCGGGAATGTTCCGGACTCTAGTGACGAATTTACAATTCTGGTGATTGATGGTAACAAGCTGCTTACAACAGATTTTAAAAATGTTGTGGGTAAAAAGTCAACGCTGCAGGTAGATGAACTCAGTTTAAAAATTATATCATGGATCATGTTTTCATTAACGGGTGAAAAGCAGGACAGCTCCAAATGCTTAGGTGGCTGTGGATTCACTGTATGTGATGTGAACTGAATTGAGTTTTTAATACCTTGAACCTTTTCTTTGAAAAATATTGCCAACTCATTGCATTTCAGTGTTGTGTTTAATTCTAATGGCAAATGAGCTGGAGGATTGACTAAATTGTTCACTGTTTTAAACAGGACACGGGAGTTATTATCAGACTTTCCAATAAGCTGAGAGAAAAAACTCTCTCTTGTTAAGCGTAAGGTTTGATTGTACTCATGTAATTTTACTTTGTACATTTTCTGATGGGCCTCAACCCTTGACTTGCGCCATTTGCGTTCAGCTTTACGGCATTCCATTTTCTTTGCCCTGACAGCAGGTTCACTCCTCCATGGCGCTTTTTTCTTATTTCTAACCATTTTAACTTTAAGAGGGGCAATGGTGTCTAATAGAGTCACAGAATTATGAGTGACAGACTCTAAAATGTCATCAACAGTGAGACAAGAGGCATGGTCAAATTGAATATGATCAATAAAAAGTGCACTAGTCTTTTCATTAATGTGTCTTCTACGGATAACTGCAGACCCATTGAGTGGCTTGGGCGTAACAGATAGGTCGAAGAAGACACAGAAGTGATCAGATATTGCAACATCAACAACATTTAAATTTGGAATGTTAACACCCTTGGTGATCACTAGATCTAAAGTGTGTCCTTTCCTGTGAGTGGGGCCACTAACATGCTGTGTGAGACCAAAGTTTTTAAGGACAGTATTGAGCTCTTTTGTATTTCTGTTAGAAACATCGTCCACATGCACATTAAAATCACCTGTAATGATCAGGGCATCAAAATCTACACATACAACTGTAAGCATTTGGATAAAATCATCAATAAAATTCTGAGTGTGCTGGGGGGGTTTGTAAATAACCACATAGAGTATGGAAGGAGATCTTTTCTGTTCCATTTTGAACGACACATATTCAAATGATGAAAAATCCCCAAATGACATTCGCCGGGTAACCATACTATTCCTAAACAAAGCGCATACACCTCCACCTTTTTTACTTGCACGCGCTTCAAATTCAAATGTGTAATTGGGGGGAGCAGATTCTATTAGGACTGTGTTTCCTGTGTCTATGTCAAGCCACGCTTCAGTTAAAAACATAAAATCAAGATTATAAAAAGATATGAAGTCATTGATTAAGAATGATTTGTTACAAAGTGATCTAACATTAAGAACAGCAAGCTTCAGATCACTTTCTGTGGAACGTGACGATGCATGTGTACAGGGGATATTAATCAGGTTCCTTTGATTTGACGTTCTAACAGTTTTCCTGGTATTCAATCTTGGTACAGTCTTTACACAAGGAATGTGACTTTCCAGTGGTCGAGATGCGATGCCTTGCAATGGTATATCACCATTGAGAAGATAGGGGTCACTGTTCGTGTTGTTGTACTCACCCGGTGAAGAGGAAGTAGAGAGGGGCGGTGAAGGTGGAGGCTGTGATGTAAACAGTCAGTTGTTTCTCGTGGCCCACTGTACAACGTATCGCAAGTAGTCCACAAATAATCTGGTACCAAATTTGTTTGGATGCAGACCATCAGTGCGGTATGCGTTGTAGCGTCTCCAGAAAAGGCCAAAATTATCCACGAATACAAAGTTAAAAGAGCTGCACACTGTTTGCAGCCATACATTTAGTGCCACAGTTCTGCTGGAAGAAGCAGTCCCCCTCGATTGAAAGCAGGGATTGGACCAGAGACAAAAACATGCAATCCAGTTGAACGAAGGAGGCGAAATAAATCCAGGAAATGTTTTTTTGTTATCTCTGACTGCTGCAATTTTATGTCATTAATTCCCACGTGCACAATCAACGTGGATATTGTGTCGGGAAAAGTTTTCATCAGAGAGGGGAGTCGTATCAGTAGATCTGGGACAGTGGCACCAGGGATGCAGTGAGTGACTGCATTGAAGAACCGAACGTGTCTAATGATAGAGTCTCCTATAATTAAAGTTGTCGGGGGGAAGAGTGGACGTATACGGGGCGATGGAGGCCGGACAGAGCCAGCGGACTGATTCCCTACTGGACCCACAGAAGAGCGCGCACGCTCAGCCGCTGCTCCGGGCTGACAGCTCTGTGCACCCGGTGGAAGAGCGAGAGCTGGAAGTTTCGGACCGGGTTGTTGCTGCTGCTCGCTGGAGGGACAGCAGACACGTGAACTGGCTGTAGCGTGTGACCTGTGTTGTGTTCCCGGAGAGGCTGGAGCAGCTCGAGGAGTTGGATCCGAGCGCCGCTTTTGACGCTCTGCTCCACGTTCGGGCTGCTGTGACCGGTCCGGTGGGGGGAGCGTGACAACCAGTGGACCACTATGTCGTCTTATAACAGCTTCCTTTAAGAGCCTTTTCCTCACTGATGACTTCTCAGATTGGCGTGAGGTTGACTGAGAGGATTTACTTGGCTGAACGGTCTTAACCGGGGACAATACTGGGCGCGCCACACTGAGGGGTCCCGAGCCCAGGTCTTGGGACACCTGCGCTGCTGGACAATCCGCTGAAGGAGCCGGGATGTCCGCGGAGAGGGCTGCATACCGATTTGAGAGACTCAGTGTATGGACCACAGCGTGAGGAGGTTCCTCACTGCCTATGATCCCGTTCTTCGGAACCGGAGGTTTTGGTGTTGAACACGAAGATGGTCCAAGGCAGCTAGACCCGTCCCAAATCACAGTGTCATGATACGCTGCGCTCATGGACAGGATTTGCGTGTGTTGACTCCCAGCGACGTCCAGGAGTTTGGATATCAGAGCCTGCTTTTCCTGTAACTCAGCCGTGAGACGCAGGACTTCTTTTCTGAGACTTTCCATAGATGTTTTTTCTTTCTCCCGAAATTCTTTGGTGAGTCGACTAATTTCTTCCTTGGAGTTCTTCACAGTAATTGCATCGTCATTTTCCATTGTATTTTTTAGTACGAATGGTCTTGTGGTAGCTTCGTATTAGCCTCCCCAGAGCTAATCGTGTATCAAATCATATGTTTGGTTTTGGTGAAGCACATGGGTATAACCTTGATTTTACATTGTGCTGTACAGAAAACGTTGGATTAAAAATGAAAGGTTAAAAGTCCTTAAAAATGTGTTCTAAACCAAGAAGTATAAGTCTGGAATCACCCTTCAGGGGCGTGCGTGCAGTCCTGGACTGAATCAGATGCGATCGACTTGTGTCTTCTGTGAGTACTTCCACTCAGAAGCCCAAACATGACGGTCATTGGACATACTTCACTGAAGGGGCCTGGAAATAAGGATTAGTTCATACAAGAACTGATGATAATATGTGTTGAGCCCTGTTTCCACCAGCCAAAGACTGTAAATATTTACGGACGTAGTGACGCCTATCTCCGCTGTTGAAACTTATGTGTCATCACTTTACCCACCTGGGGTCTTTCTAAAATAGGCAGCGAGCAGCCCCAAGATGCATTTGCGATGCAAGTCCACAGTGGCTGAACTAGACTGGTCTGAAAGATATACTCCCCTCAACTTCGACAGCATCTGGAACCAAGAGCGAGTTTTGTGATCCAACTTTGAACACATAGGACCAATGGCTCTATGTGTTTCTTATCATTGCGACAAAAACTTTGTAAAGACTGCTGTTTATTTAGGGCTTTACAAAAACAAACACAGTGATGTATCTGGGAGCGTAAACATAATTTAATTTGATTTAAATACCACTTACTGATTACATTTAGCCAAAACTTCTCTTCAAGGGTTATATTTAAACTCCTGGACTTATGGAATTTATACAAGTACCGACCGGAGTCAGAGAGCTTTACTTCTTGGGTTCTCAGAAGCACATCCGTTTTATTGGAGCTCATGTGAATCTCCCGTCTGTAAATCTAGAATAGTAGGAAGGTTCACCGTCAGATCCAAAAACTGATGCAATGCAGCAAGGTTTATATCCATCCTGCAGTTTAAACCAGTCCACTTGCATCTTCATGCGTAGTTTGAACACGACAAAGTAACAGTCTCTCCTTGATGAACCTTCCATAGACTATTTTGCAAAGTGGATCGAACACTGACATCTGCAAATTATAAAGACGTCACTAAAAGCTGTGAAGATTAGGAGATATAACCAAAAGTTGATGTTACTCACAGAGAACAGAAGGAGCCTGAAGGTCTTCATAGTGTTGACTCTGGTGTCTGAGCCTCTAATACTCTGCTTTGCCTTTTTATATGAAAAACAATGGAAGGAGCATCAGTCTGTCTTCCATGTCTTTGTGACTGCTCACGCGGATGTAATCACTTAATATAATGCCACTAGCCTCAGCATAAGTTGTAGAGAAACGCCTGAGTATCATATGGAAATGACCTGTATTGTACTTTCGAAATACTTTAGAAAAGAAACTATTTCAGATCGAGGGCCAAAAGGAATATGTAGAAAACTTTTCATTTTTAGCTAGCCATTTAAGTTAGTCAATACCAGGGCTGTTTATGAGTGAGGGAAGTACCAGTTTTATAACCAGTGGAAAGTTTTTATTAGTTTTTTATTCATATGTTTATCTATGTTTTACATTATGGAGTATCTTCACAGAGAAGATTTTATTTAACAGAAGTTTGAATTTTTTATGTTTTTGTAGATTTTTTAGATTTAAATTAATTCTGTTATGTTCAGATTGAACAAAAAAAATGGGACAAAAAGTAGGGATTTAGCCCCGTTCCCACCAAACCACGTGGTGCGGCAGGTTTATCAATGGATCAACAACGATGTCATTGGAGTTTTGCCAATGTGAATATTCTCATGTGTGGCACTGGGGTTCTGTCCTGCTTAGCTTCACCTCTGTAGCTAAGCAGGACAGGGCCTGGTCAGTGCTGTGCTGGGAGACCTCTGCGGCGGCTGCGGATGCAAAGTGCCACTTAATTCACATTAGAATTAGTCTGATGTGTGTGTGAATGGTTGGTGGTGGTGGTGGGAGGGGCCAATGGCACTCACTTTTGTCAGTATGCCCCAAGGGCAGCTGTAGCAACCATAGTATTTTATCACCACTGTGTATGAAATGATTCATTCTGTGAAGTATCTTTGAGAGTTCAGAAAAGCACTGATACTGATGTGTTATTGTTTGTTCCACTGTAAGTGTTGTTGAGTTTCTATTCTCTTAGATGTGAAATCTCTGTTGGTCTCACTTCAACAGGAAGTCCTATGTGGTCTCAGCTGACTCATACCAACATGGGGCCCCTGAGAGCAGTGTTTATCTCTGGTCTTTCATGCAATGCCCAGGAGACCATCAGGATTAAGGTTAGAGACAATAAACTGAACTAACACAAGACAAACTCCAGTCGAAAATAGAGCTTGAGATAGATCTATTTATACATTTAAAACCACAAATTATAAAGTAGTTGGCTGAAAAGATCACAAGGCTGTCTGGGCTAATATGGTTTCTACATTCTTGTCTTGAGCCAAGATAACAGTTTTGCTGCTACTACTGTTGGTGCATCAGCGAACAGCCGCCAAAGGATGGGTTGGATCAGGTGGAAGCCCCTCACTCTCTGTCTCGCTGTCAAAAATAGAAATATAGAATGATGAGTTGTGTATATTTGCAATAAAAACATATTTTAACAAACACAAAGACGTCATTATTAATTTTGTTCTGTAAATGCAAATAATGGCTTGATCAAACTCATTTATATTTCTTTACATAATATACATGTAAATATGCAAGCCTTTAACTTATACAGAAATACTTTATATAGAAATACTTTATACAGAAATACTTTATACAGAAATACTATGCAGAACTATCTACATTGAATTAGTCCAATATCTCCTGCATCGGTATCGTCCTGCTTTGGTCCACACAGCATCAGGGCTTCAATAGGAGACTGTCCAGAGACTTCATCTTGTACTCGAGTAAACCACATGAGGCTCCATCTGTCTGAGTGAACGCTGTGGTCTTTGTGCAGCTCTGACATTGACTTCTGCGTAGTTCAGCTCCTGGGACTCAATCTGAAATCCAACGTTTAAAAAAAAAAAAGATTAAATGTATGTTGCAAGATTAAAACTCAGACTAATTATAAGTAATATAATTTTACCTCATAGTTGTTTTCCTCCTGGTCTTTATTGGCTGAAAAAGGGGAACAAATTATATAAAGGCCAAGTCTGCGGGGGTGCTGATGAGAACCAGAGATAACAGTATATCTTGAAATTTTGCCAAGATTTCAGTAACACTGGTCCATTAAAGCCTCCAACCAACACCATTCACTCATATTCAGACCTACAGTATTGTGCATGTTTTTAGTGGTAGGGGAAACCGGAGCACCTGGAGGAAACCTACAAAGACACACGCTCATGTAGAAAGGCCCTGTTCCAAACGGGATTTGAACCCTGGACCTTCAAGAGTGCTAACCACTCAGCCCCCGTGCCATTGATACGGTTCCGGTATCAGTGACATGTAAGATACTTCGTACAGTATCTTACATGTCACTGATACAAAAACAGTCTCTCTTTGTAGGAGATTGTCCTTAAGTGTTTACAAGACATTCTCCCCCGACTCCCACTGATGTCTTCTGTCGTCGTTTCCTTGGGCAAGACACTTAACCCTACTTTGCTTGAAGCCCCCACTGAAAGATCAAGCAGCTCAGACTAGAGCAACCGTCCTCCTGTGGATTCACCACCTGCAGGACGATCAGGGCTGGCGCTCTGTGAGTTGAGTGCAGCTCTAATTCCCAACCCCCCAACTCAAAAATAGATTAAGGGGAAGAAAATGGATGGATGAAGGAGTGAAGTAGAGGGATGATGTTTACACAATGGCGTCAGGGTCGTCCCCCGTTCTATGACTGTTTCCCAAATCCAGGCCCAGTTTTAAGGCCTTTGAAATTCCAAGCTGCCGACACCTGATGACGCACTAAGAGACAGACTAATGCCGCGTTCAGACCGGATCATGCGTTGCGTCGGCTTTCAATGTTACAGTAAAGTATTAAACACCTCAACTGTGTCACTACCTTTTTGAAATCTGTTTATTTTCATGACAAGAAAAGCAACTGCGACAGAGAGAAGTCCACTCAGACATCCAAGAACGACGGCCGCGATGAATGACCAACTGAAGTCGACTGGAGAACAACAGTCATGGATGAGATATCATTTACATTTATGTGAAAGTAACATTTGAAAATTACAGAATCCCTACTTCCAGTTTGAAGCTCTTCTTTCATCGTTGTGTTGGGAACATCTGTGTCGCCTGATGGAAAGTGAAAAGTTAGTATTCTACTGTCTACTACAGACTCTGAAGCACATGCTAAAAAGATGTTAAACAAGAAATGTGCATCATTTGACTATTTATTGTGAATGTGAATATCACATTCTCCAACATGAAGAAATTATATGGTGAAGTATGATGGGTGAAAATGCTTCCCATCTGTAACGCCCTATGTTTTTTCCACTTAAAAATGACTGTCTGCAAACACATTCATAAGATTATAAAACTGAGAAATCACCAACACTTGATACTACTGCAGGACTGAGACAGGAGCGGAGTTGATGTTCTATCAGATGTTCTACATATTTGATCCACATTTGAGAATGGGGTAGTGCACTTATAGAGACAAGGCAGTGTTTGTTTTTAGCCTGACATAACATTTTGCATTTGGGTCTAAAAGTCCAATTTTGGATTAATCTGAACACAGAATCTTCTTCCACATGTTGGATGTGTATGATATTTGCCTCATGTATAGATTCCCCCAGGTGGCCTTAAGTCTGCATTGGTGATCAGGGTGTCCTTGTTGAAGCTGTGAGTTTGGGCGGACAGCCGAGTCTTGGTCGATTTGCAGTTGTCACGGATTAACAGAGCTTTGTGAGATGTTCAAAGCTTTAGACATATTTGTATAATCTAACCACATATCTGACTTCTCCGCTACTTCCTTTCTGAATTCTGACCTTTCTGGTGTCTCCTTATCTTTTATGATGTTGTTTAGTGGTTTAGATTAATTGCATTCAGCAAAATAATGTATGAAAACTGCCCTTTTTCAGTGGGAAATATACGTAAATGACAACTGACCCCATGTTCGGTTTTATCAGTTTTTGTTGTGTTATTTGTTGCTGCAATGTAAAAAAACAACGAATAAAAACGTAAGTACAAAAACTGAATTGTGAGTAGTTTTACTTTCACTTCACAGTTTTCTAATTCTCTGATGTTTTCTTTCCGTAAACAAAAAATCTTCAGGTTTGCGTTCGTAACTTCAGGTAACTTCTGAGCCGTACGCAAAGTTGACTTGACCAGAGCGTCTTTGACAAACAAACTTCAGCAAACAGACAAACGTAACTTTTTATAAAATGTGATCCTATTGTTGGTTTTTAATGCCCTGTGTGACTTTAATGTTGATGATTTATGCCTAACGTGATTGTGGCTGTGAAGAAATGTTGTCGGAACTATTGGAAAAGTGCTCTACAAATAAAGCACATTTGGTGATGATCCAGGACACTCAACATTCGACCACATTTATGGACATTTATCAACATTTATGGACATTGGTCTCTGCACTTTATGGACCAATGGATCTAAGTGTTTTCTATCTTTGCATTCCTTGTGTTTGAACCGTCTGATTATCTGATCTGTGTTGGCAAATTCAGCGGTTTTGTAAAGTCCTCTGAGAAAACTACTATTGTGATTTAGGACGATGCAAAAATACATTGATTGATGGATTGTATATGGATCCCTGTACATATAAAACAACTCATTACCTCTGACTTCTAAGTATGTCGTCTCTCCAAGGACTATGTTGGACTTCATGAAGAATCCACAGAAGTACAGTCCAGAATCAAAGGGATTTACTTTGTGTATGGTCAGAAAAACAGCAGATGTATTGGATCTCATACCAAACCTTCCTTCTTTAAATCCAGAACAAAATGAAGATGGGCCATCAGATCCATAAATTGACACGATGCAGCGAGCTTTAGTTCCATTCTCCACTCTGAACCAGTCCACTTGAGTTTCATCTTTGGAAGAGTTTGAACTGGACAAAGTGATGTTGTCTCCTGGGGCTATTGTCACCTTCTTGAAACCCAACACGTTCGCTGCGCAAACTGTGAGAAAAGATCAAATCAAACGATAATTTTCTTTGTAAATAATTGAGAAATGTGTGGCGTGTACGAACCAAAGCCAGAGAGGAGCAGTAGAATAGGCTTGTTCATGGTGCTGACGTCGAAATAGATCCAAAACCCTCCTGGACAGACTCTTAAATAGTCAGGAGGTGTGGTCTTACATGGTCTCTATATAGTGAGATTTTTCTGAAAATACCTTATTTCACTGTAACTGAAATATTTCACCTAATGATTCATTGTTTCTTCTGAAAGGGCGGACGAGAAGGCGGTGGTGAGGAGAGGAAATGAAAACTGAACCTGTTTCTTGTGCAGACACTGTGGATGACGCTGGGTTTGTTGATGCCGCTGTGGTCTCTGGGTAAAAAAGTGAGCAAAGTAAGTGAGTGGGTCGTCTTTCTTTATGAATAGTGTATTTTAGACCAAGCACAAAACAGTGTCAATGGAGTACCAATATTTTCCTATTAGCTCCACACATGGCCGGAGAATTATTCTGATTATTTTATATTCATATTTCAATAACATGATACATACAGAGTTAGATTGTGTGTTGTAACAGAAGAGGTTTCAGACTTAAAGGGTTTGGAGTCTCCATGAAGTGATTGAAAAGACATCTGTTCAATTTCTTATCTTCTCCCTGGTATCCCTCTCCAGACTGTTCTCTCCTCTCCAAACTCTCACCCTTCTCTCCTCTCTCACTTCTTCCTCTATGACTTCCTCCTCTCACTCTCTTTTTCTCACTCTCACTCTCTCCTCTCTCACTTATTCCTCTCTCACTATCTACTCTCTCACTTCCTCCTCTCTCTCTCTCCTCTCACCCCTCTCTAAACTCTCTCTCTCCTCTCACCCCTCTCTAAAGTGAGGGTGGTTGTGACCCAAGACACCAAAGCATATTTCTCTTTAGTAAATGTACTGTTCTACATCAGTGTTAGTTCCAGCTTAATTTACTGCAAATGGCTTTGAACGAGGTTACACAACTTAGCGTGTGCTAGTTTGTGGTCTAACATGTGCCTTCTACATTTGCTTATTTCTTTCTCAAACTTGCTCCGTTTGACCCCTTTAGAAACCGCTCACACGTCGTATATAGTCCTCTTTTGGCGGCGGCGTCATCACACTCGCTCACGGCGCTGCTCAGACCAAGATGCACCGTCTCCTCTACGCCTGCTGTGAGTTTGGGGCCAGATATTTCAAATCCAAATCGTGCCTTAACTGTGCCTTTACAGTTTTCCAGATGGCAGTTTTGGCCCATTCCTCCGTGATCCAAGACGCTGGGGTGGTGTTTACTTCTGTCGGGGGCAGTGTGTGCCTCCGTTGCTTCTACAACAGCACCACAGTGGCTAGTCATTACTCCTGGTACAAGCAGAGACTGGGAGGGAACCCTGTGGTACTGTCCACTATTTACAAGTTCGACACGCTGCGGACGAGGCTGGTGTGGCTGGAGAAGCACCCGCGACTGGCCGTGCAGAGACAGGAGGGACTGAACCACCTGCACATCTCTGACGCTCAGCCAGAAGACGAGGCCGTGTATTTCTGCGGGAGCTCCCACAACAACGTGCTGGAGTTTGGAGAAGGAATATTTCTCAAGGTTCAAGGTAAATGTTTTGACTTATTTCTTTCCTTCCCTCGGAGACTCAAGTGGGCTGTTTGTGAACTAATGGGTACAGGTGTGGCCTTTAAAAAAAACGGTGACTAAACAAAATCTGGAACTAAAAAAATGGCCCGCAAACGATCAGAGAATCAAACAGTTTGAAAAAAGGAAATACAATAATAACAAACACATAGGAGCCAAAAAAAAAGTATTGTCGACACCTTTTGACACAGACAAAAGATGAAGCGTTGAAAATTCTTAAATGGCTTAGAACCTGTTTTTCTGAGAGAGCTCTGTGTGCTCTTGTTGGTCTAGTCTCCGTCTCTCTCGCTGGTCTCTCTCTGGTATCTCTCTGGTCAATCTCTGGTCTGTCTCTGGTCTCTCTCTGGTCACTCTGTGGACTCTCTCTGGTCTCTCTCTCTCTCTCTCTGGTGTCTCTCAGGTCTCTCACTGCTTGCTCTCTGGTCTCTCTCTGGTCTCTCTCAGGTCTCTCTCTGGTCTCTCTCTGATCTCGCTCTCAGGTCTCTCTCTGTTCTCTCTGGTCTCTCTCTGGTTTCTCTCTGATCTCTCTCTGGTCTCTTACTGAGCTGTTATCTCTGTCTCAGAAAACGAGCTTTTGTTGAACGTGCCCAGGTCTTGTCTCAAAACTCCTTTTAGTGCTTTACATTGTACGTATATTTGTGTGTATTTCATGCAGTTTTATTTTTACCATTCCTTTTATGTATTTTTTCTATTTTGGCAGCCGGTGTTGTGCAGCTGCCAAAATATATGTGCAATTAAATTCAATTAAATTCAGTGTATTCTTGCATCACCCTGAATCACAAGAGTAGTTACTCTGAGGACTTTACAAAACTGTCAATTCGCCAACACATATCAGAGAATCAAAAGTTCAAACAAAAGAAATGCAAAGATAAAAACACATTGAGTCGTACAAATAAATTTGACATACTACATTTAACCCTTTATTGTTCACTCCTTAAAGAAAGCTATGTCTTTTTGGGGAGTATTTTCTATAATGTCGGAGCAGAAGTTACGAAAAAATAGTTTTTTTCAATGTTTTTTGTTGCAACTTAATGGTAAAAAGGCTTAAAATCAAGTAGATCAAGACTCAATAAATCCGCCAAATGGTTGAGGAAACCATCAGAGGGTTAATAATCCTCTTCTTGTCCTCTTCCAGCTCCTGCAGCCCCCATCCCTCCACACATCACCCAGACTCCTGCCGTAGCCCGGACCCCCCTGGGCTCCTCTGTGACCATGAACTGCTCCATTCACCGCGGGACCTGCACCGACGAGCTTTGCGTCTACTGGTTCAAACATGCTCACGGTCTGGGCCTGGTCCTCGACGCAGACCAGAGCCCCAGCCCCGAACCCGGCCCCCAGAGCTGCACCTTCCATCTGGAAAAGCCCTCGGTCCACAGATCCGACTCAGGGACGTACTTCTGTGCGGTGGCGGCGTGTGGGCGGGTCCTGTTTGGGAACGGGACGGTTTTGCAGATCGAGGAGGAGGATCTGAGAGTCCACATCAAGGTCCTGGTCTGGCTCTCTGTGCTGCGGATGGGAGTGCTCCTCCTGCTGCTCTGCGGGTGTCTGTTGATCTACTGCCTCAGGAGCAGAGGCAACTAAACCCTCTACTCTACTCTACCCTACTCTACCCTGCTCTAACTGGTTGCGTTCATATTACGCTTCAGTGTCTAGGATTTTATCTTTGCAATTTGCCCACAACAAACCAGTATCCACCAGGACCATTCCAGCAGCTCTCTGGCCAATCACTAGGCGAACACAGAGTCGAGTCGAGTCGAGTAGGGTTGGTGTAAATGTGGCTTAATATCTGGTGAAAAAAAGTAAACCCACAATATTCTACTATCCGTGTATTTATCGTAAAATGATTGACTTGTAACTTAAGGCCCACAGTGTTCTACAGAACACAAAAAAAACGGTTTAATTGTTTGCGTTTGCGTCCTTATTATTCTGAACTATTTTATTGTGCTACAAAAAGTCTGATTGTATTGAGTTTGGGGTGTGCTCTGCTCATAGTACACAAAGATTCATTTCTGGGTCGAGGGGTGGCAGTCAGAGCTGCAGCCAGTACACAGACCACCTCACTGATCCTCCTGCAGGTGGTGAGTCCACAGGAGCTGAGATCTTTCAGTGGGAGCTCCAGGCAAAGTGGGGTTAAGTGTCTTGCCCAAGGACACGAAAACAACAGACAACAGAGGGAGTTGTGAAGAAGGTCTCATGGTGGGCTCGAACCCACGACCTTCAGGTTCAAAGGCCAATGCTCTACCAACTGAGCCACTGTCATACAGATTCATGCAGCTAAAATCTTGAAGTCTTTCTGAAAATGTGGGAGTCTTCTCTGATAATGATCAAAGCCAATGTTCAAAAACTCAGTTTTTGAATGCCTTTTTTTCAGTTTTTCTTGATTTGTTCAGGACATTGAGTTGCCTTGTGTTCTGTGCTACACAAATAAACTTGCCTCTTGTGTTGCAACAAAATAAATTCGTAGCCTTGCATCAAATAAACAGTTTATTTCATCATTTGATTCACTACATCAAAGAAAATAAAAACTCAAAATGGCCACAATTACCAAAGCATTTACTTTAGTTGTGTTTAAAGCTGGTATACGTAACTTTCAAACCACAACAATGCAAGTGTGTGATGTCACTAGTCCCTGGCGCTAAAAACCTTGGATCAGCTTTCTGTTTCTATATATGAACAAAAAGAGTTAGGTTCCCCAGCGTTAGCTTCTGTCCTGTCGGCTCCTCACTTCAGAGTAGAGCACCGTTGTTACAGAGGTGGACCTGCAGGAGGCGCTAGAGGGCACCACATTCACTCCTGCATAAGTCACCTCGTCTTCTGCCTGCGGAAACAACCGTTGTGTAAAAATAGGTTTGGTTTCATGCAGAGCGGAACAAGACAGAAGAAGAAAACATGTGTGTATGTGCTTATTTTAGATTAGGCCATTTGCAAAAAATGTTATCAACAGACATCTATAGCGGAGTTATCCTAAATGAAATATAATGGACATAAAGTCTATAATATTTATGTGAACGATTTTCCGGCAGATTATCCAATCAGAGAGCAAAATGGGTTGCCAGTTTGTTCAAGTTTTCTGGTCTTGGCTCTATCTTTTTTTCCCTTTTAAAAAAAAAACCAAAATGCTAAATTCATTTGAAACATAGACTATAATAAAATACACATGGAAGAGAGAGATGTAGGGTCAGAGAGTGTTTGGGCCTCTGTCTGTCTGTGTGTGTGTGTGTGTGTGTATATATTAGCATTATACAGCGTTTTATTTTGGACACTCATAGATGCTGCACTAGTGTTCATTCACTCCAAACACTGTGGTGATAAACTGGAACTGTAGCCACAGCTGCCCTGGGGCAAACTGGCAGAAGCGAGGCAACCAGTCTGTGCCATTAGCCCCTCGCACCACCACCAACCCTTCACAAACACACCAGACTCATTCTAATATGGGGGAAGTGTCTTATAAGGACACAACCACAGTTTTGCACTTTACAGCCGCAGCCGTCCCACTGTGGCACCTGGTCTCCCATCACAGTACTAACAAGGCCCTGCCCTGCTTAGCTTCAGAGGTCTGCAGTTTGAAATGTGTCATGACTGTACTTTATACCTGAGAAGAGCCGCGACTGGATTCTCTGCCTGCAAAACAAGCAGATGTTAGAGAAGTATTTGTTTTTCCAGTTAAAGTGAGAGAGAGCGAGAGAGAGAGGTCAGGACCTGTGAGCTGGGTCCTTCTGTAGATGCAGACCAGCCGCACCAGCACCACCACAGCTGCCACCAGAACCACGTTCAACACCATCAGAGCCATGAGCGCCGGGTTGAGTACAGAGGGGACCCCACCTTCAACACAACAGGGGCCTCTTACAAACTGGAGCCAAAGAACACATTGTTTTCAGAGCTTTTCCAAGAAGGACTGAGGTGATGATCCAGGACACTCTATGGCAGGGGTCTCAAACCGGTTCCAGAAAGGGCCATGTGGCTGCAGGCTTTACTTCCAGAGTCATCTGTGCTCCTGCTCAGTTTGGAACTGTTGGAAGTAAAACCTGCAGCCACATGGCCCTCTCCGGTTTGAGACCCCTGCTCTATATTCTACCACATTCATGGACATTTATCAACATTTATGGACATTGTTCTCTCCCTATGGACCAATACCATGTGTTCTATATTCTCTGTGTCTGATTCTCTGATCTGCGTTGGCGATCTCAAAGGTTTTGTAAACTCCTCTAAGAAACTTCTGTTGAGATTTAGGGCGATAGAAGAATACATTGAAATTAATTGAATTGTTTTAGCCTTAAACATGATACTAACACCATTTACTTTGAACTTTCCGCCTTCAGAAAATTTTCAATTCAATTCAGTTCAAATCATATCCATCACAATCTGGTACAATAACCAGAATCAGAATCATGTTTATTGCCATGAAAGTAACAGGAAGTCATAGACTAGGAAATTGTTTTGGTTCTCGGTGCAAACAAGTCAAAAGTAGAGAAGAGTAAGGCAGAAAACATACAGTACTTCATAGAATACTTATTTTTGTTATATTTTACTGCTATTCAGTATACTACTGTTTCTGTTGCTATAAGAAATGAGGAAATATTGAAACAACATTAAGACAGACATTCTGAACACGGTGATGATGAAAGAATGATCTAATCTAGTAAACGGATACGGCCAAAACAGTTACAATGAGGCATAAGAAAAACAAAGTCAGTGTTTTAGTGCCGCCATCACAAAGCCCCGATCTCAGTCCCAGAACAGAGACGTGGACTGATCTTCAAGAGAAACAGACCTGAAATCCAGGAGATTATTGTGAGAAGCTTAACTATTTGACCCTGAAATGACACTAAACATATTTCTGAAATTGTGAAGTTCTATGGTTGTCGAAAAAACGTAATAATTCTGACATAACTATTGTAATTATTGTGTCATTGAGCAATGAATAATGTTGTTACTATTATCGCAAAAAGGAGAACCAAAACTCACACAAATATACAAGTCTGGTTCCACTCGACATAATCACTGAACATTTAGACAGAAACATGTTTTTTCAGGTGTTAGTCTTCAGTATAATCCACCATCACGATCCTCTTCTGCACATTTCCTGAACCCTCTATCTTACCGTCTACTTGTATCCTGGTCCCATTCCCGATCTGTGTGAGTCCACAGACAGTCACCACACAGAGGTAGGTCCCGTCATGAGCAGAACTGACTTTATTCAGGGTCATATGTTGAACACACGAGGTTCCTCCAATGTTCGCACGATGACAGGAGCTCTGATTTACATTGTTCCAGGAAGTAATGTGAGACGCTGAACTCAGTACCCAAGTGACACTGGTGAGTTCTGGTTCCCTGTGGCTGGTGTTGAATGAGCAGCTGAGAGTCACAGAGTCTCCGGACTTCAGTCTGATCAAGTCTGGGGTCTGGACCACAGACTGAAGAGGCTCCGAGTCCTGATCCAGCTCCAGAACAATGCCCGATCCAATGTTAAAAGAACCAAGTATTCCACAGTAGTAGGTGCCGACATCGTCTGGGGCCATGTTCTTTATGGTCAAACTGGTTTCATCTACAGAGGTCTGTACTGAAAAACGAGAATCAGTCTTCTCTTCTTTGACCGCGTTTGTCGATACCAGCAGTTTTAGATTTCTGTTTCTGTCCAGTTTGTACCACACTCGATAGCTCCAAACGCTTTTGATCTGACATTTCATTATTACAGTCTGTCCCAGCTTCACCTTTTTCAAACAATCGAGCTGCTGGACTTCTTCTTCCTCAGAAACACCTGAAATTCAAACCAATTGTTCTGAAGTGAATCAAATATTCCAGTTCTGCACTGCTGCAGTTATACTTACACAGAGTCCAGAGCACAGAGACGAGGACAGCGTACTTCACCATTGTTGCAACAGTGATGGTTGAAAGTCTGAGTTGATGTGGTGAGGGGTGGAATATAAAGCAGAGAATGAAGCCTTCTGATTGGATGATGTAGATTCAAGATGTCTTGGCTTTGCTGAATGAGGTCTTGCAGTTTCACATGCCGACCGTAATCTTTTTTATACAGAAATTTAAAGAACACTTTTTTATAAAACAAAGATTTTATGGTGGTTGCAAACATGACAGTTTAAAGTCTAAGCTAAAACTGCTGTAAGAGAAAACAAATCTCTCAGAGGAGGAGCCTCAAACCCCCATCACAGTGGACTCAGAACCACCACAATCACATTTAAATCTGTGGGAAACATTGCAACATCGACTTCAGTAGCTTCAGCTCTGGTGGCATCTCTGCGGTCAGCATGCTTCCTCTTGAAAAAGATCGACTCAGAGTCAATGGAGTGCACAGTGCACATGCTGGATTCTGTTCAGATATGTAATAACTTTGATGTTATTGTCTACACCTTTCACCAGTGTATTTTTCTTCATGTCTGTACCCTGGGCTCGGAGGCCTATCCGCATTAAGTGTCCTCCACGGGGGCCGTCCTTCGTCCATGAACTGATAGGTGTCCATCAGTCCACGCCTGTCCTGGTGCCCGTGCTAGCCCACGCCCTCTCGCTCCACCCTGATTGAGTCTTTGTCAACTTCCTCCTGTCTGGCTTCTTTGTCTGCGTCACATCCCTCCCGTCTGAGTCCTACGTGTCGCTCCGGGAACCCCTAATCATTTCCCAGCTCATGGCCAGGGAGCTTGCCAGGGGTTTTGTCGTCGGCCCATTTTCTAGCCCCCCTTTTTCCCCATTCCGTACGTGTCCGCTGGGCGTCGGCACCAGGAAATACTCAGGGAAGAATTGGCTTGTGTTTGATCTGTCCCAGCCTTGCTCTGGGCCCACACCGAGCGTCAATTGTCTCACACCCCCTGAGCCCTTTTCCTTGCGTTATGCTCCACCTCAATGACTTCCTTGTGGTCAATCCGCCCACGGACGGCTCGGGGGATTTCCTGTGGAAACTTGGCCAGGCCTTTTCTGCTCTTTGGGTCCCCTTGTCTGAGGAGAAGACCACAGGTTAGGCCACCTCGCTTGAGTTTCTCGGCATCTCCCTCGAAACGCTCGCCATGAAGGTTTCCCTCCCCGGACAAGCCCCAGTGCAACGGCGAAGTCTCGCGGCCTGTCCTGGCCTCCCCCTCGCTGTCTAAACAGCAGCTGCTCTCCCTGCTTGGGCACCTGATTCAGATTCAGATTCAGTTTATTTGCCATTTGTTTTTTACCCATTTCAGGTCATTAGACAGAGTTAAACCGAGAAATGTGCACTCCTCTACAATCTGCACTTGGGAGTTGTCGATAGCAACAGGAGTGTGAGAACTGTTACGACTGAAGTCGAAGACAAGTTCACATGTTTTCGATGCGTTCAGCAGGAAGTTGTTAGATTTACTCCATTGAACCACATTTTGTATCTCTGCTCTATTAGAGGATTCATCATAATTACTGATGATGGTGGTGTCATCAGCATATTTAATGATCAGGTTCGAGTCAGAGGAAGACACATAATCATGAGTGTACAATGTGAAAAGCAAAGGACTCAAAATACATCCCTGAGGAGAACCAGTGCTCACAGAAACAACATCTGATAAACAGTCATTGATTTTCACTCTGAGATCTGCCAGTTAAAAAGCTAAAAATCCATTTACGCATGGCAACACTTAAACCGAGAGACATGAGCTTTTCAATCAGTTTACCTGAAACAAGGCAGTTGAAAGAAGAGCTATAATCAATAAACAGCATTCTTGCAACAGATTTACTATTGTCCAAGTGACTGTAGACAGAGTTCAGAGCAAAGGAGATGGCATCCTCCACACTCCTGTTCTGTCTGTAAGCAAACTGGAGCGGGTCAACACTCACAGGGATCTGACTCTTAATGAAGTCCAACACAAGCCGCTCAAAAGTTTTCATAAGAACAGATGTGAGGGCCACAGGACGATAGTCATTCAGGCATGTCACAGGAGTTTTCTTAGGAACTGGGATAATGGTTGATTCTTTAAAGCTGTTCGGCAGAGTACAGTTCCTTAGCGACAGGTTAAAAATGTCTGTTAAAACAGGGGAAAGTTGCTCGGAGCACAGTTTCAGAACACGAGGAGGGATGCCGTCCGGGCCTGGGGCTTTACGGTCTGTGGTCCTGGACAAGACACGCCTGACATCCTCCTGAGTCACGGTGAAGGTACCTTGGTTGAAACAATCAGGGAATACAGCAGGACAGGCATCAGCAGATCCAAAGCGACATTAGAACGTGTTAAGCTTATTTGGAAGAGCTTGGCCAACAGATCCAATTTTCCCAGCACCAGTCCCCTCCCAGCCCAGTCCCCTCGCTCTGTTGGTGGCCACCGCCGCGGCCCGCCTGCCGTGCTCCACTGGCCTCTCGAGTGGGGCACTTGAGGAAGTTTGTGCACCTCAGTTCGGGTAAGACGAGTGACACGTCACACGCATGGTCCCGAATGTAAAGAAGTGTTTCTCGGTCATACTTCACTGTAGCAAGTGACTCACAGACGAAAAACAACAAAACACAGATTGTGCACACTAGAGCTTTCACTGCGGCGCCCTAACACGGCGCCATCTTGCTCAGAGCCTTTGCGGCGTGTGCCTGAACTTTGCCATGAACTCACCCGCTCTGTCTCCCTCAGTGCGGGTTGACGTTTGCACCTTGTGTTCTGGTCCTGCCTGCTCGACGCTGGAACGGCGTCTCCTTCTTCTACGACAACATCGTATTCATTCGCTCTTCAGACGAATTGCCCCGTCCGTGGGTTTTGGGGGGTTCTCTCAAGGTCAATGGTTCGCCGACCCATGGCCCCAGATATTCCCCAAAAGCATTTCTTTGGTCCTCCACGAAATATTCCCTAAGGCCGAAGCCTGCGTTCTGTGAGGTCATCACAACTCCAGGATTAGTCATGTAAATATAAGAAATTTTAATACTTTAATACTATATAATTGCCACTAGTAAGTAAGTAAGTAAGTATTGTTTATTTATATAGCACATTATACAGACCAAGGTCACCCAAAGTGCTTTACATTGTTCAGAGTTCAGATAGTTTTCCATTCTCTCCACACACGGTGATGGAGAAGATGGATTGTCAATGACTCTTCTGGCCACCCTGGAAAAGCCATGTTCCAGCTTCTTCCCTCTGGCAGAAGATATCGCTCTCTGAGATGCAGGACATCTCGTTACGCTAACAGTTTTTATCCACAAGCTGTTATCAGTGTGAACAGAGCACTTTAATGATTTGCACTTGTTTTGAACTGTTTTAGTCGATCGATTTCACAGTGACATTTGTTTACTGTTTTATTTGTTTTATTTCTGTCTTTTAATGTTGTTTTATGTCTGTATTTGTCTGTGCACACTGGTGACTTTTGCTAATGTATTCCAATGTGGTGTTTTTACTGCAAATAAACTGAATCTGAATCTGACTGAATCTGAATCTGATGACGGAAGCGAGTCCCCGAACACACTAGTGCATCAAAGCCTCCGACCAAACACCACCCATTCACTCACTCACTACATTCCTGAGTACATTCCTCATCTGTTCTTGATCAATTGTCAGAGTAATATACAAGCCACGGAAAGACGAGAAAAGGAAAGTCCTTTTTATGAATGTGAATGTATTATGTCTCTTATGTATTTTAACTAGGGCTGTCAAACGATTAATTTTTTTTAGTTGATTAATTGCTTTAGTAATGGTGAATTAACTCACGATTAATCAATTTTTGTACATTCTATTATAAATCCACTCCAATTGAAGTTAAATGAGATTATCAAATGCAATGACACAATGACTCATTGGGGGCGACAGTAGCTCAGTTGGTAGAGCATTGGCCTTAAGGCCAGAAGGTCATGGGTTCAATTCCCACCTCTGCACCTTCTCCATCGACTCCCACTGATGACTGCTGTCGTTGTGTCCTTGGGCAAGACACTTAACCCCACTTTGCCCAAAGCCCCCACTGAAAGATCAAGGCTATGCTCACACTCAGAGCAGCCGTCCTCCTGTGGACTCACCACCTGCAGAGGGTCAGTGAGGGGCTGGTGCTATGGGACTTGGGTGGTATCTCTGATTGTCACCCCCCTGACCCAGAAATGGATTAAAGGGTAGAAAATGGATGGATGACACATTGTCATTCATACCAAATGTACTTAAATCTGTTTGATTTGCTCAAAACGTTTGACTTTTGAGCACAACCAACATGAGCTGTTAATGAAAGAGAAAATGTACGTACCCCAGCATTGGTTTAGGTTGCGTTTCGGGGGGGGGGCTGGGAGAGGGAGACGCGGAGGCCATGGTCCTGTTTCCGCAGTGTGTTGGTTGGTTGAGCGGGGAAGCGCACACGGCGTGCAGAGAGTGGTCCTGTGAGTGTGTGGTCTCACACTCACAGAAGAATTAACGCGACTAATGAAACATGTAATTAACGTGCGTTAACGTGATAATTTTGACAGCCCTAATGTTTTACGCAAGCTCTACTAAACCAGGCTTAAATCAGGTCTGGACCAGGATCTAAGAAGGAACTTTGGTTTGAGTCTGTAAAAACAGCGCTCTATGCATCCTATATACAAATATAAAAGCATGAATAAAGAAAAAATTGAGGCATTCCCATTTGTAAGAAAGTAGTTCTCTATCTTACCATCCACTTGTATTCTGGTCCCATTCCCGATCTGTGTGAGTCCACAAACAAACTTTACACAAAACTCTTACTCTTAAAACCCACATTTCACAATGCGGAACCATCAACATCTCGCCTAAAATTGCATTAAAAGTGACATTTGTGTCTTAATTCGTTCGTATTTAACTTTTAAAGCAATTCGCGTTTGCATTACATCATTAACAGCTGAGGCAGATCATCTCGACGGGCAGACCAACTCGACAGAACCCCGGCGCATCTGCCCCTCGGCCAGTATGGTGCCATGCGAGATCCCCGCCTTGGAACACCTAAGCCTGGACTAGTCTCACCCTCTTTTTTCCATCTCCTCTCCTCCGCTTCATCCTACATGAAAATGGGCCTCTCACATTCTACACTATCCACATTCAGCTTCGCTTGGAAAGTCCACTCCCGCTTCTGCCACTCACATAACATTCCACCAATGTATAGTTCACTGTTCTGATAATCTCCATTACAAAATAACTTACATCTGTACCCTGCTCGCTGGGATCCAATTTCAGGCCCGCTGCCATAATCCCACTTTTTCCTCTCTATTCTCAGAGCCGTCAATCAAACTCCTCATCAAAGGCATTCATAACTGTACTTCTCACTCTTCTGACCACAGGCGCCCCATCACGCTGCCCATCCTACAGCAGCTCTGTGCCGCACTACACTCTGGTCCAAGTACACGTCTGCCCTTCTACGTAGTGTTTTCCTCCTTGCTTTTTACGGCTTCCTACGC